GAGATGAGGGGCTAGACTGAGGCTTCAGTAAGCCATGGTGGCAGGTGTACAGACTGAGGACTGCCGACAGGGCAATGAGAGACTGTTGTAGTGGGCACTTCCGGAGGGCAGTGTCATGACGAGGATGCTGTGATCCTGGGAGCAATGCAGGTCCAGAGCGAAAGCCTGGAGAGAGCGCTGAGCAATGACAGGCTAAAGAGGGAGACCTGCTGAGAGTAAGAGCTAATCAACAGGAGTGTTAGCAAGATATGGGAAGTAATTCTCCCGTGCTACTCGGTGCTGATGAGGCCTCAATTGGAGTACTGCGTCCCATTTTGGGTACCATGTTTCAAGAAAGATGTGGAGGAATTGGAGAAGGTCCAGAGAAGACTAACAAAAATTATGCAAGGTCTAGAAGACATAACCTATAAGGGAAGACTGAAAGAATTGTGCTTGTTTATTTAGAAAAGACAAAATTGAGAGGGGACATGATAGTGGTTTTCAAGTATCTAAAAGGGTGTTACAAGGAGGAAGGAGAAAAATTGTTCTCCTTGGCCTCCGGTGATAGGACAAGAAGCAATGGGCTTAAATTGAAGTAAAGGAGGTTTAGGTTGGACATTAGGAAAAACTTCCTAACTGTCAAGGTGGTTAAACACTGGAATAAACTGCCTAGGGAGATTGTGGAATCTCCATAACTGGAGACATTTAAGAGCCGGTTGGATAGACATCTCTCAGGGATGATCTACACAATGCTTGGTCCTGCCGTGAGGGCAGGGGACTGGACTTGATCGCTCAAGATCACTTCCAGTTCTAGTATTCTATTATTGTAATTCCTGGTATGACCAGCAGGAGCCATTACAGAGGTGATTCATGACCCGTATTGGATACAAATTTAGTAAGGAAAAAAAACAACGGGAGATGCTTATGAAACAATTAACATTAAGGGTCAAAATTATTGCACCGAATACAAAACTGTATCAAACACAAGGAAGAAAAAGAAAAAGAAACATGTCTTGAACAAGACACGTTTTGGAGGGATGGATAAGTTACAAATAACAATTAAAAAAACCTAGTACAAGGACACTGCTTTGGGCAATTCATCTCCTCTTCAAATATCAAAGCCACTTGGAAAATGAGAAGCAGATTGTTATGGCTCTACAAAATGCCAATTTGCACAGATCCCTTCCCTCCTCCCTCCCCCCCCCAAAAAAAATCAAAAGTTTTGCTCTGCTATGGCTAAGCAGAGCACTCATGACTATTCAAGATTTAAATTTCAAAGCATCTTTTTAGAATTACACATTATCACACTGTGTTTAATGGTGTACTCCCCTCCCCCCCCGCCCCACACACACGGGTCAACACCAGAATTTGAGCTCAGGATTTAGAAATTCTAGAAGGTGAAGTTTATGCTGTGAGCTAAAGGAGTAACTATTAGTAAAAATAGCCTGTTGTCCTTCATATCGAGTAGCTCCTAGAGCAGTGGTCCCCAAACTTTGTCATGTTCCACCTTACCAGCAGTAGAAACTATCCACACTATCCTGGAGTTGTGGTTCTGAACTGCAGTCAGAGTCATGGCCAGGAGCTGGACTATGCCTGTAACCAAGAGTGGGACTGAGGCCAGAACCAGGGCCAGCGGCTGGTGGAATCTGCAGCTGGGGCTTTAGTTGTGTTTGCTTCCTCTTCCAAGCCCCCCTGCATTCCCCTGAACATTCATCCACACACCCATCCCATAGTTTGGGGACCACTGTCCTAAAAGGATATTGAGAGAGCCACTCAGTGAGACACAATAGGGAAATGTCAGTTATGAACAGGCTTTTCTTCCTCATTCAAGGGAACGTGGTCTAATGTTTAGAGCAGTGGTTGCAAACCACATAACCACATATAGCTATTTGGCACATTCATTCTCAAAGTCAGTGTGATAGAATGGGTGACTATTTGTCATACTGCAAGCCTGAGGTATATTCTACATCTGCTGGACATGACCATCAACAACCTCTTGGTTACCTTATTTGAAAAATGATTAATATTAGCGTACAGATATGAAGCTTTGCTTGGTAGTCAATGTTATGAACCGGTGAGATAAGAACCTAATGTTCTCTCTCGGCTCTCAGCCCAATGAACTTTTTCTCTAGACCAAAAGGAGTTCAGATAAAATGTTCTTCCTCCCTACTCTCATATACACATATGATTTTACCTGCAATGCAATCAAATGTGAGGGAACTGCTAAATGTGAGATTGAAATGAAGGATGCATTATGCCGGCTAGAGCTGAAGTTTCTCCCTCTACTCTTCCATTTCCTATTTCCTGTGGTCTTCACTTTTCTTCTTCCTCTTGTGCTCAAACCTCAGCCCCTTTCCTTTAGGCAATCTCTACACCACAGTTTAAATGTTAAATATTTTAAAAAATGTAGAAAAGTCAAACTATGCATACAAATAACCTATCAAACCAAAATTAATCACTTCCCTCACCTACACTCCTATAACTTCTCTCTTATTGTTTGAAAAAGTGAGGGGGAGTGGCACTATACCTGAAAGAAAATATAATCAAATGAAGTAAAAATCTTAAAAGAACCAAAATGTTCCACAGAATCTTTGTGTAGTAATTCTATGCTCTAACAATAAGGCTACGTCTACACTGGCCCCTTTTCCGGAAGGGGCATGTAAATTTCACCAGTCGTCGTAGGGAAATCCGCGGGGGATTTAAATATCCCCCGCGGCATTTAAATAAAAATGTCTGCCGCTTTTTTCCGGCTTTTAAAAAAGCCGGAAAAGAGCGTCTACACTGGCCCCGATCCTCCGGAAAAAGTGCCCTTTTCCGGAGGGTCTTATTCCTACTTCAAAGTACAGATATTCCTTTCAAGTAGGAATAAGACCCTCCGGAAAAGGGCACTTTTTCCGGAGGATCGGGGCCAGTGTAGACGCTCTTTTCCGGCTTTTTTAAAAGC